TATGTTATTTTCTAAATATATATATATTTAATTATTTATTTATTTACTTACATGTATTTTATACATATTTGTAAAGAAAATTGTGAATCATATAATAAATTATAAGAACCAACCTACAAATTTTACAATGTTGTTGCACGCAATTACGAAGAGTATCTGAATGAAGAGTAATTCTCCTCAAACGATATGCCAAGATTTCATATTGACAGCAAATATGTGCCAATAATCCACAGATGAGACTGTCGCAAGCGACGTTTACTAGAGCACCCATGACCAAACCTATCAGTTGATGAATGTATAACAGGCAAAATAAGGTCATAGATGAATATTCGAACGGCATCCACGCTCTGTACGTTAATTTTCTCTCGCCAAAATTTGTTAATAAAGATGTAAGGGCAATAATGGCGCACGTTACCATACACATAGCTGCATAATGGAAAGTATTAATCCTATAAAAATAGTATAAAAATATTTACTTAGTATTTATTTTATTCCTCATTATTTTCTTGTTTAGAAAATAGATAAAAACGATCTCAGAATATATAATAATTGCACATATAAATATATATTAAACATAATAAATCTAATCAAATCGTGAAAGAAATTTTAATAAAATTAAAATAATATAAAGCTAAGATTAAATTTAAAAAAATTGTTACAAGACTAATACGTGTTAAAATGATTATTATTAATAATATCAAATATAGTTGTAATTATTGATTGTTAATACTTACTGCATGCCTTTATCAAATTTATAATAAATCTTTATTTCATTCGGTTTTAATGGTTTGCACGGTTCCTTCGTCAAAGTATCGGTTAATTTAATAATGTTTTTGTGACTTGTTAATAGGCTGAATAATTTGTAACAAGCTATGATCATAGGAAGTAGTACGCAAAAGTTATCGCAGAAATCGTCTGTATTATCCGCGATTAGAATTATATCCATGAATTGCGACAGTACGAAACTATTTACTAATAAAATTACTAGAACTGTATACACTCGATATATTATACGTTTATATAACGATGTCCAAGATTCCGGCTGCCAGCAACCGCATATTGTTAGCACTTTAAAAGTAAGTTCCAGTATACGCATCTTGAATATTCTTCCTTTGATCCATTATGAGAATAACAACAGAAAATATGGATATTGTAATGCTTTTTAAAATTTGCTTTTTCATATTTTTTATTGTGATTATTATCTGATCAATTACGTGTAATCTGCCTTTATTAATTAATATATTGTTTCAATATATCTCACTCTTAATGAATACTTAACTACATGTTGTATATTATAACAGGAAATATATTTTCACTTAATTGTATAAAGTATACACTATTTATGCGGCGCTTTAAAATAATTTTAAACAAAGAGATCAATTAAAATTAATATAATTACAATAAAAAATAGTTCGAATATTATAATAAAATTCATTTTATATACCGATGTAAAAGAATAATTTTATACGCGCAATACAATTCTTGCAGCGACTGACGAAGATCTATAACTCTGCCGTTCTTTTTCGATATGATGGCATTTCTCAGTAAAATTTCTCTTTCGATTGATAATCTTATTATCCATTCTGTAATAACGTTCTTTGCAACATAATATTCTCATGAATTTAAAATGCAGCGGATAGAGATGCAGAGTTTGTATGATTTCTAAGCGCATGTCTCTTAAAGACGGAAGACGGAGGAAATAAAAAGAGGAACAATTGAACAGTCATTTATAATACATCTTTTTATGTATATTTCACATAGATAAATTATATTTTTCTCTGCAAGGAAATATTTTATTTCTCGTTATACAGTAGTTTTATATATCACGTATTAAATCTTTCTCTCATATATATATATATATATATACGTTGATTCTCGTTGGTATAATTTTTAAAGGCTCTGAAGTATGTATAACATCGATAATACTGACTTGAGTGGGGCATAGATATCCAGTATGACACAATAATTCTACAGGATACCACATCATTTGATTACTATCGTAAAACATAAATAGAAAATGTATTAAAATATATGTGTTTGTGTGTGTAAAAAATAAAAGATATATAAATATATAAAATATACTTATTTAGATTTTTTTTTATTAATTTAGAATTATGTGACGCATCAACGCACTAATTTTGTAATTGTTTTTCTATTTATATTATCGAATAACAACACAAATTTCGGACGAGAGAATAACAGCGTATTTTCAATCAGCATATATTCAACAAATAAAAAAGATATAAGACGAAATCGTTAACATTGCACAGCTATCAAAAATTCATCTATGAAATATTGAAATAAGTTCTTGTATAATTCTACAAAAAAATATTTAAATTAATTTCATATATCGCAATGTCGTATATGTGTGTATAAATTATATATACAAACACTTAAGAAAATTTTTAACAATTATGGTTACATTTTTTAATGGGATAATTTAATGTAATGGAAAATATAACAATTTAGATAGTTTAATTTGATTTTTTATTTATTTAATCATTGTCGTGTGTTATACGTAATTTATAACTAGTTATATTTATGAGATATTAACAGCTGAATAAAACAATATCGCGGTATTATATAAACACAAGTCTATTTTTATTCTATTATTCCATTTGTTGAAGCAAATTATAAGCTGAATATGACGTTTTAAGTATCTACAACAAATATAGACGTAATCTCAATTTATATTTATACATTGATATATTTGATGATTTAACCAATGATAAAATATGGTAAAGACAAATATGAAATGTGATATTTTTACGCAATATTTCAATCTTTATTGGCTTAGTATAATTAAATTTTAAATTTAAATTAAATAGATTTTATTATATTTGATACAATTAATACAGTTATTTTGAATATAATAAATGTTTTAAATATTTTACTTTGCTTAACCTTTTTTCCAAATAGTTTAACATATTTTATTTAAATATGAATCGTCAATCGTATGCGAAATCGACTCTAAAGTGCGTTGGCAAAATCAGTTTTAATCATCTAATATTTTTGTACTTACATCCATAAAAGAATCAAGATTTATAGAAATAGTGTAAGCGCTGGTGATTTCGATAGGTGTTGCTGTACGCTTCATTATTAGTATTAATGATTTTTTTAAATTTTCGTCCATCTCAAACCATTCAATTTGAAAAATTTTATCGATGAATTGGCGACTCTGCTTGAATATGTATAGAATATCTTGCTTATAAAAGCGCTTGAACCTTTAATTTGACCTCGTTGCCGTACCAGCAATAGACGAAAATTTGTGTCAGCATGCAACACATAAGCATTGCTAATCGAATATATCTTGCACTTATTCTCATTTGCGTTAATTGATAGAGATTGAAGCATACCACTAACATACTCATTAGAAGTTGAATAGTAATAACCATTCTAAACGTCGCATTTACAATAAAAGCTAATCTGAAGAAAAAAGATTGATAATAAATAATTTTTCTATCTATGAGATAAAGAAGTAAATTGAATGTATGTCTCTTTCTCTCTCTCTCTCTCTCTCTCTCTCTCTCTCTCTCTCTCTCTCTCTGTTGTTATAAATCCTCGATATGTACATATATGTGTATATGTGTGTATATATAACAAATTATATTAAACTAAAATTAATTATTATATATTATTTTCTACATGTCTTGACATACCATATTCATAGTCTAAATGAAATATTGTCATGTTTATAAAATGTATTACAAACATTGTATTCTGCTAACCTGAAAATATTGCAATGTTGTCGCACGCAATTACGAAGAGTGTCTGAATAAAGCATGATTTTTCTCAAACGATACGCCAAGATTTCAAATTGACAGCAGATGTGCACTAATAATCCGCAAATGAGACCGTCGCAAGCAACGTTCAACAGAGCAGCCATATTTAAACATATCAATTGATGAGCGTATAACATGCAAAATACGGTTGTAGATGAATATTCGAACGGCACCCACGCTCTGTACGTTAATTTTCTTTCACCGAAATCCGTCAACAAAGATATGAACGTAATAGTGGCGCATGCCGATAAGCCCAGAGTTGCATAATGGAAAGTGTTAAGTCTGTAAAATGACTGCACATTTATGTTTCTCCGTACTTTTTTTCGAAGAATGCAACAACTTAATATAGTATCTTAGCATATATAATATTTTCACAAAATTGAGAAAAAGATATTAAATTTTATTAAACTAACAAAAGAGAAAATTATATTAAAATAAAATAAAGAAAAAAGGCTAGTGAATATAAATATAAAAATTGACAATTAAAATTCAGAGAATTTTTATAGCTCGTAATATGTTACGACGATTATTTTTAGCGAACAGTCAATATGTATTTGTGGTAATTATTGTTTGCTAATAGTACTTACTGTATGCCTTTATCGAATTTATAGTGAATTTTTATTTCATTTGGTCTCGACGGTCTGCATGGTTCCTTTGTCAAAATGTCAGTCAGTTTGACAATGCTTCTATGATTTACCAATAAACTAAGCATTTTATAACAAGAAATAAACATAGGTAGCATTATGCAAAAATTATCAGAAATATCGTCGGTATTGTCTGCGATAAGAATTATATCCATAAATTGCGACAGTGCGAAACTATTTACTAACAAAATTACTAAAACTGTGTAAACTCGATATATTATGCGCTTATATATCGACGTCCACGATTCCGGTCTCCAACAACCACATATTGTTAACACTTTAAAAGTGAATTCCAGCACTTGCATCACGAAATTTTTCGTAAAATAATCAATTGTACTCTGTGTAGTGTGTTATTATTAATTGTATTAAATGCAACAATATAATCCACTTGCAAAAATACAATCAGTAAACTGATTGTCTACATGTGTGTTACACATATTATATTAATAAAGATTTTTTCATACTTTTATATTGTTTTTTATATTTTTATATTTTATATTTTTAATTAATTATAAACTATGTATAAGATAATATATACAGTACATGTATATATATATATATAAATTTTTATTAAAAGGATATTAATTAAACAATAATTAAATAAAAGAATAATATGAATGATATTATAGTCAAAATTCTTGATACGCGGATTTAAAAAAGAATAACGCGCAACACAACCCTTACATAAACCGACTGACAAAAGTTTATAACTTCGCTGCTCTTTTTCCCTCAGGGAATATTTTCGTTCAGCTTTCCCCTCATAATTAATAGTTTCGATATTCATTTTGCAAGAATGTCTTTTGCATAGTATTCCCATGAATCAAAAATGCAGCGTACAGCTGCAATGTTCCGATGACAGTTTCTGAGCGCATGTCCCTTGAAGGCGGAGCACGGAGAGAATAAAAGAGGAAACGTTTGAATATTAAACAGGCACTTATGTAAGCCATTTTAATAATCATATAGGTAAAATATATTCTCTCTTTTAAAAGGGAACATTTTATTAACAGTTTTATGCCACATTGTATTAAATCTTTCTTTCTCGTATGTTGATTCCTACAATTTCTATTAAAATAATTCAAAATGCATGGTATAATCAATAATATTTTATGATTGTAAGTTAGGCCTATACAACATGATAAAATAATTTTGCAAAATATTAAACACTCTAGTAGACAACTATTCGATTACTATCATAACATATAACTACCATAACACATAAATAAAGAATGTGTATAATAAAGTATATAAAATGTAATAAAAAAAAAAGAATAAGAGAGAGAAAGAAAGATCTAAAGAAATGTATTTAATTCCCCTTTATCTATCAAAACTACATGATACAAGGATTATTGTTAATTGTAACATTTCATTATCTCTAAGAAGGATTTACTAAAAATTTAATGCTATTTAAATGTAAACAATATACGACCAAATTTAAATTTATATAGTTATCTGATACATTGTGTCATTCCTATATTTGCTGCAATATGTTGTAAGCTGAATATGAGGTTTTAAGCAACTGCAATAAACAAATATTACATATGTACTATAAATGAATAAATATAATAAGATTTATTTGAATAATTAAAAAAAAAACAATAAAGGCTTTATATATATTAATCTATAAAATTTTTAATATGTAATGCAATTTTTTTATTACATATATTTATTGTCCAAAAAAATTTGTTTTACTTTCTTTAGATTTATGTACACATTAAATATTAAAAATATAAATGTTATTAAACTCGCTCATTAATCTCGTGTGATAATAAGAAACATTTGATACTAACACCTACGAAAGAGTCAAGATTCATAGAGATGATGTACGCGCTGGTGAATTCGATTGGCACTGTACTACGTCTCATAATCAATACTAAATCTTTCTTTACATTCTGATCCAACATATACCATTCCATTTCAAAAATATTATCGATGAGTTGTCGACTCTATATTTATTACGACATTATATTATATTTCTTTTTATTCACACATTATTATCGTATATTACTTTAGTATATAAATAATATTAAAATATGTAAAGATATCAATTTTATAATTATGCAAATCAAACTATTAATTTATTTATTGCAATTATTATAACTTATTTTTTTTATGTGATTATTTTCGCAATCCCGTACCTTTAGCTTTACTTCATTTCCATACCAGCAATAAAAAAAGATTTGCGTCAGCATACTACACATGTACAATGCTAATTGAATGTACTTTTCCTTCGATGTGGTTGTTCTAGTTAATTGATATAAATTAAAGCACACCACCAATGTGCTCACTATAAACTGAATAGTAATAGTGAATCTGAACTTCTCGTTGACCATAAAAGCAAGTCTGTAATTAAACGCAATCATTTTTTTTAGTATCTACAAGTCGAGAGATAGCACTTGCATTGATATTTTTATCAACGCAACAATATATATATATAAATATGTAAATAAATTATTTTATATAAATATATAAATATATACGAACTCGAAAATACGATTATGTTGCAGGATACAATCACGCAGAATATCAGGCTCGCGTGCTATCCTTTTCAAGCGAGATTCTAATATCTTGATTTGACAGCAAATGTGCACCAATAATCCACAAATAAGACCGTCGCAAGCGACGTGAAGGACAGATCCGATTATCAAACTTATCAACTGGTGAGCATACGTAATATGATATAAAAATGGTAATGAATAATCGTATGGCAACCAGGCTCTGAATGTCAGCGTCCGTTTCCTGAAGTCCGTAAACAATGACGTTAACGTGATGCATACGCAAGTCGTCTCAACCAAGATAGCGTAATGTATCGTGTTTGCCCTAAAAAATAACTGTAGACATTGTTGCGTGTCATTTGTTATCAGTGTTTTGCTTACATATTGATTTGCTATTTTTTAACATATAAATTTATTAATAAAATTATAACACGTGATATTTGCTCAATATATTGTAGAGAGATGTAAAAAAAGCTAGCAGCAACATTATTTGGAAATATTTAAATCGCGACTCTTACTTTTAAAGTCCTGTCATATACGTTTTTGGATACTAGATATTAATTTTAATATAACGTTTATTATAAAAATTTTTATTTGCAGGATACTTACTGCACACCCTTATCAAATCTGTGATATATTTCCATTTCACTTGGTTCCAATGGTCTACAGGGTTTTTCCGTGAGAATATTGGTTAATATTGCGATACTTTTGCGATTCACCAACATACTAAGCATTTTACAGCAAGAGACAATCATCGCAAGTAACATGTAAAAATTATCGGTGAAGTCATCGGGATTATCAACGGTAAGAATAATATCCAATAATTGTGATAAAGTGAATGTATTTATTAACACAAGTATGAAAACTGTATGCATATGATATATTACGCGTTTACATGACGACGCCCAAGAATCCGGTCGCCAGCAACCGCAAATAATTAAGAATTTAAAAGTGGAATCTAATATGTGCATGTTTTGAACTTTATATCTTTCGATATTCCATTTCCACAGATAAAACGAAAATTAAATAAATATAGAAATGTATATAAAGATTCTCTAGTCTATATATATATATATATTCTTTTCTAATTTTTTTTTACGGTCAGATAAAGATTTAAATATATATCAGCTAGATATATATAATTTGTTTAATTAATTTTTTTTTGTCTGTGTCAAGATATATAAAAAAGTTATTCGATACAATTTTTTCAAATAAAACTCTAAAAGTGCGATATGACTCTTGCACGAATAATAATCGTATGTTCAATAAACTCTCTAAAGAAATAATCGTGAAATGTCTATAGATCCATAATTTCTTAACGAATACTCTTCAATTTCTACGAATAACTTCTCCCTGCGTATATGACCATTTTTATTATTAAAACTGCGACTATATCCCTATGTATGAAATAATATTTTTATGAAATAGTCGTGCAACACGGATATTCAACACGAACTTTATCTTATCGGAAAGGGCGAGTGTGTGTGTGTGTATATCGGTACAAATTTAAAACAAATTATATGTTAGCAAAAGTTGTCAAAGAAAAAAAAAATAACTCTCGAATGTCGCATACACACGATCTGTACATATATATGCTGCATAAAATATTAATATTGGTAACTCCCATGCTTCTCTCTTTGCCTTCCTTGGAAATATTTATTAATGCTGTAAATTTACCATATTGAATGACAGATTTTATTTCCCTTATTGATCCACGTCTATAATTTCTAGTTTAACACTCTCACATGTATGTAACTTCCAAATGATATAATCATAACGTATTGTTAGCATGCAATGTAAGTAAAATCCATATTTTAACGTAATTTAAAACATATGATACATATATAACAATTTTTTAATTATAATTTTTCTATTTGTACAGCATTAGTGATATACAATATAGTAAATTATCAGTATTATAATACCGGTATAAAATATATTATTCTACGATGCTTATAAGATGTCACCAATATTTTTTTTTTAAGTTGTGTCTAATATTATGAATCTTGCGTTTGCTGAAGTATATTGTAAGCAGAATACGATGTTTTGAGTAACTGCAATTAAAATTATTAGTATTGTGTTTCAAAATTAGTTGCAGATGTATATAAGATTAAGTTTGATTATGCAATACAACAAAATATTTGAAAATTTCGTAAAATGTAACTTCTTAATCTTAGAAGCAAAATTAAAATACACGTTTATGCAATTATATATTAAATTTCTTTTTATTAAATACATTTATATATTCAAGTTACTCTTAATATAAAAAAAAAAATATTTTTGGTTGGTTACTTTATTTTATCGATAGAAATTGAATAAAGCAGTTTTGATATTAGAGTTTTGAATACGTCCTCTATTATTTATAGAGCGACAATGGCCCGTATTCTGAGCTCACATCTATCTTTAGATATGCCTCTAAATGTATCTTAGATAACACAATAAATGTGGCGGTATTCTGAGCGCACATTTAGCGGCACATTTAGAGGCAGATCGCCATTTTTAGCTTAAATGCGCAACTTTATAGTGAAAATCGTATTCTGAACTACATTTATAGCACATTTATGCCATTCTCGATAAATGTACCACTAAATGTGCCCGAGGGCACATTTATACGTACATTTATATGTAATACCGGCGCTTATACTTGATGCTTCATAGATTTGATTAATTCTATCACTGTTATACAATTGATTTCATTAATAAAATTATTACAGATCAAGTTTCTGTAAATAATAGAACTTTTTTACATAACAATATTAATGATATTTGGTCAATTCTGAAATTTCTTCTAAAAGTATAGTTGTGTAAAGTGCAATGAAAGGTG